TCAAACCCTACTAGTTTTATTTGGTGTGTTCCTAGGGTTCCAGGTCTGGGAACATTCCAGGCTTTGTGGCTCACCTGATGTTGATGACAAAGCTTTTGAAAGCATGGTTTGAACAGGTAAGGGGTAAAGAGCTCATGGGGTTTTGTTTTTTGTTGTTATCTTGTTTTTGTTTTGTTTTGTCTTGTTTTTTTAGGCAGGGTTTCTGTGTAGCACTGTCTTCCTAGAACTCATTTGGCAGATCAGGCTGGCCTTGAATTCACAGAGAGATCCTCTTGCCTCTGCCTCCTGAGTGCTGGGATTAAAGGTGTGTGCCATCATGCCTGGCAAGGGTTTGTCTTTTGTCCCCTTGTAGCGGTCCTACTGAGGTAAAGAAATTTGTGACATAAAGCAAAAGTCCTCTTCAGTGTCATACCACCGTAGCCCCCCAGTCCTCACCCTCCCCCCACACACACCAAGGGCTAGCCATGTCTGTGAGGAATGATCTTAATTGCCCACCATGGGCAGCACCATCCCTTTGCAGGCTGTATAAGAAAGTTAGCTGAGTCGGTGATGGCACATGCCTTTAATCCCAGCACTCGGGAGGCAGAGGCAGGCAGATCTCTGTGAGTTTGAGACCAGCCTGGTCTACAAGAGCTAGTTCCAGGACAGCCTCCAAAGCCACAGAGAAACCCTGCCTTGAACCCACACACACACCAAAAAAGAAAGAAAGAAAGAAAGAAAGAAAGAAAGAAAGAAAGAAAGAAAGAAAGGAGGGAGGGAGGGAGGGAGGGAGGGAGGGAGGGAGGGAGGGAGGGAGGGAGGGAGGGAGGGAGGGAGGGAGGGAGGGAGGGAGGGAGGGAGGGAGGGAGGGAGGGAGGGAGGGAGGGAGGGAAGAAAGAAAGAAAGAAAGGAGGGAGGGAGGGAGGGAGGGAGGGAGGGAGTATAGTATATCGAGAAGCTACAGGAGGGATGGCTACACTTATGGCAAAGACAGGAGGACTCTACTGAGCCCAGTGTAGTGGCACTTGCCTTTAATCCCAGTACCAGGAGGCAGAGGTAGGTGGATTTCTGTGAATTCAAGTCTATCCTGGTCTACATAGTGAGCTCCAGGCCAGCCAGAGATATACAGAGAAACCCTGTTTCCAGAAAAAGAAAGTGAGCTGAGCATGAGCCTGAGTGCACCAGTAAGCTGTGCTCTTCCATGGCTTCTGCTTGAGCTCCTGCCCTGGCCTCGAAGCTATGGATTGTGACTTAGAAGTACAAGCCAAATAGATCAGTTCCTCTCCAGCCTTCTTCTAGGCTGCTTTTGGTCAGCCTATAAGAAGGCTCAGATCCTCTGGAACTGGAGTTACACAATTATGATTCACCATGTGGGTGATGGAAATCAAGCCAGGGTCCTCTGGAAGAGCAGCCAGACCTCCTAATAGCTGAGCTATCTCTCCAGACTCCAACAATGTTTTAACACAGCAACAGAAAACTAACTAGAACACACAGGATCTTTGTAATAGCTATACAGCTCTAAAGTCTACATAGGTCTACACTGATGTCTCCAGTATGACTCTACTTTTTTTTCAGTGCTAAGAATGGGACATGGGGCCTTGCACATGCTAGGCAGGAATTCTAAGGCAGAGCTATACCCATATGCCTGAATCCACTTCCTTAGTTGGCCACTGCCTAAGGAGCAGGGATGTCATTCACCCTTGTTGACAGATACAAGGTCTTAACACCGTAGAGGAGGAAATGAAAGGAAAAGCATGGTGAGTATAGGGAGTCATTGAGGGGTCTACTTTTTCTTCTTTTAGTCCCAAACAATGTTCCAGTGGGGATGTGTGTGTGTGGGTGTGTGTGGGGGTATGGGGTTGTGTGTGCGTGATTGCTATTACTCAGGGGATTCAGGTTCTCTTATTCAAAAGTTGAAACAAAGGCTCACAGAGGTTGCAAAGGAACAAGGGGACTTTATGCAAAAGCAAGGCCATAGTATATCAAGGAGCTACTGGATGACAGAGGCCACATAAACAGGGTGCTGAAGGACCCAGATTGTTAATCTGAGGCTTCCTTTTGTGGGTTAGACAGGATGAGGAGTCTGGTTGCTAAGGAGTGTATTGAGGGTGGTTCCCTGTTTTGATTGATAGATTATATAACAGCTTTCTATTTGTGTCTGATTTTAATCAGCTCACATCCAATTGTGCACTGTCATAGGATGGGGGACTCTCCCTAAACATTCACTTACAGAATACAATGTGCCTTACAGAGCATGCATTTTGGTGTCCCACGTGAGAAATCTCTAATGTGTTAAATAGAGTGAATAGTTTGCCTTCCTGTACATGTAATCCAAAGTGTTAGGCCAGATCAGCCCATTTCCCTTGGTTCTAGAATGTATTCCAGTATGTGTTTGATAGAAACTGGGCATCATCAAGGGGTAACTAAGGGAAATAGCTTATTTCCAGGTTAATAACCGGAAATTATTGTATGTCCATCCTAGTGAAGTTAGGGGCTCCAACATGTTGCTAGGAGCCTTATTTGGAGATGGGTATATATGTATATAGCCTAAGCCAAGTGGAGTACCGGGCTTCAAAGCTATTTAGTTTGCCTGCCTCAGAGTTACTCTTTTTTCACCCAGTAGATAAGAAATCGGACTTCTACTGGGCATGCTGACACACCCCTATAATCCGAGCACTCAGGAGATAATACAGGGTTGCTACTGTGAGTTGGAGGCTATCCCAGATTACAATGTGTTTCACAAGAATAAATATCCAGGTATAGTAGCAAACACCTGTAATTCCAGGGTGGCCTCAGACTGGTAATCCTCCTGCTTCAACTTCCACTTGGAATAAGTTATTCCTGAAAGTCTAATTCACCTCTGCTTCATTCAGTTCAAGCACTGACAATGCAGTTGACAGAATGTAATTTCCTAGGTCTTGATTTTCTGAGGCTACAACACAATTGAACAAACCAGGTGATTCCTAGGGTGTGTCCCATGTCTGCATGCCTTCCCTGATCTGAACCATCCAGTGGAGAAGGTTCTGGATTATCTCTGTCTCTGGCTAACTCGTTGCAGGTTCTAGGGGACTGACTGCAGGTGGGTGTTTTACCTTCCCTGGCTGGGAACTTCCCCAGCTACAAAAGCCAGCTTCTCTCAATGTTTCCTGCCGCTGGCCTGTTTCCAGGGTGATTACCTCTAGCTGCCGTACTGGTGTTTTTCCGGAGTGCCCACATCTAAGGGCAGCAGTAACAATCTGAGGTTGATCTGGTTCAGTTTCTTCCCCTCAATCATGTTCAGCCATCTACATCTCCTTGTTCCTCAAACAACAAATTTAGGGCCTTTCAGCCTGCTCTCTCAGCTTTGTTTCCGAGGCCCAACACAAATGCTCAATTCTGTAGCACACACACACACACACACACACACACACACACACACACACCCATGTCTCGAGGCTATTTGGAGGCCTCCAACCACCCTGTGGCTGTTTCCTCTCCTTGCACTGTTGCCCAGCGCTCTTGACTCATTACATAATGGCATCATGATACCTAGTGTCTCCCCTTAGGCATTCAAGACCCACATGCAGTTTTCTACCATAGGCCCATGTGGAGCAGGGACCAGCCAAGTATTTGTTGCTGGCTTTTTTTTTAAATACCTCTTCCTTACATTCCTACTGCTCCAGGCTTCCAGAATGCTGAGGCTGCTTCATCTACCCTGCCCCCAGCCTGCTCATTGGCTATTGGAGGTCAGCGCACTATGCTTCACACCATCATGTTGCCTGAAGGCAATGGAACCGAGCCCTTTTTTCTGGGTCCACATCATCCATACCTTTGCAACAGCAGTTGCCTCTCTGTGACAGGATCTGTGATTTAAAGGAAGATTTATTTGTGTGTACATGTGTGCCTGTGTCTTGAAAATGAATGGTGCCCTTGGGGGCCAAAGCAGAGTGTGTGATCCCCTTGTAGCTGGAATTCCAGGCAGTTATGACCAACCTACCCAAGATGGGTGCTTGGCTTCAAACCCCAATCCTCACCCAACTGTGGTGGCACTCACCTTTAATCCCAGCACTTAAGAGGCAGAGGCAGTCGGATCTGTGAGTTTGAGACCAGCCTGGTCTACAAGAGCTAGTTCCAGACAGAATCCAAAGCTACACAGGGAAACCCTGTCTCCAAAAACAAAATCAGCAAGGTAGGGTGTTCCCTTGGTACATACAGCTAAAGAACTGTTGGGCTTGAATTTAAACTCACCAACACTCTCATATACTGACCCTTACAGGAACCCTGGCAGGAGGCTGTGGCCCAGAAAGACATGGAGATTACCAAAAGCCACTCATTAAGTTAAAAGATTGAGACAGGTGGCACACACCTTTAATCCCAGCACTTGGGAGGCAGAGGCAGGCAGATCTCTGTGAGTTCCAGATCAGCCTCCAAAGCCACAGAGAAACTCTGTCTTGAAACCCCCACACGCCCCCCAAAAAGCCTGGGACAGAGGTTAGGGCAAGACTCCTAGAACAATGTTTTTTGTTGTTTTTTGTTTTGCAAGACAGGGTTTCTCTGTGTAGCTTTGGAGCCTATCCTGGCACTTGCTCTGGAGACCAGGCTGCCCTCGAACTCACAGCGATCTGCCTGCCTCTACCTCCCGAGTGCTGGGATTAAAGGTGTGCGCCACCAATGCCCGGCTTGAGCAATGTTTTTTTCCTAGCCAAGACCACAGTGCTTCTTCATGTGATTTAAAAAATGGAGGGTGCTGAAGAAATGGCTCAACAATTGAGAGCACTGGGTTCAATTCTCAACACTCACCAGGCAGCTCACAACCATTTGTAACTCCAGTTGAAGAGATCCAATGCTTCCTTGTGTACCACAACACCCATTCACTGTAATTAATGGTTTAAAGGTAATGTCTATCAGGCTTATGTGTTGAAATCAGAATTCTTTGGAAGTTAATGAAAACTCCAAATGGTGGAGTCTTCCAGGGTTTGCATGGGGCTTGGACATGGTCTCAACCACCAAGACCAGGAGGTTAATAAGGAACAAAAGTGGGGTCTCATGAACAATCTGCATTTATTTACTGATAACTGTAGTCATAGACTTCAAACACAGCAGAAGCTAGAGTCTGTTTGTAGGGTGGAGCCGCCGCTTGCTTGTACAGTTGGTCCATGAAGAGTAACTTCAAACTCATCCTCTGGCAGGCCCAGCTCCAGGCAAACAGGTGACAGGTGGAAGCCCTCCTTCTGGCCATTGGCACAAGGGATTATTCCTTATTCTCATAGTTGTGCTTTATGTGTTTCCATAGCTTCTGCATTGGAAATACAACAGTTAATTATAACTTTTGCCCTCACACTTTACAACTATGTTTGTTGTCCAAAGTAAAGACTATTGAGAAATCAGTGTCAAACCCTGATTAAAAATGTACAACTATGCTGGTGGGTGGTGGCACACGCCTTTGATTCCAGCACTGAGGCACCAAAGGCAGACGGATCTCTGAATTTGAGGCCAGCCTGGTCTACAGAAAGAGTTCCACAGACACAAATATGGTGCAGACATACAAGCAGGCAAACATACCTATGAAATTGAAACAATAAAATTTAAAAACAAATAAACCAAAAAAGAGGAAGAAGAGGAGGAGAAAACAACCAGTAGAGAAGCTGGGCAGTGGTGGTGCTCGCCTTTAATCCCAGCACCTGGGAGGCAGATACAGGTGGATCTCTGAGTTCAAGGCCAGCTTGGTCTACAAAGCCAATTCTAGGAAAGTCAGTGCTACACAGAGAAACACTGTGTCGAAAAACAAACAAAAAAGAAAACCAGTGGGGGAACAGACTGGCCTTCTGTACCATGCCTTTCCCAGTACAGCCACAATCTAATGACATAAAACATGCACAGAATCTGGAACGGTTAAATCAAAAAGGACTCATTATTTCCTACTTTATGTTCCCACGTTGTCTAAGACATGCAGTGAATGCCATCTTTCAGTGGTATCCTCTATGAACGTGGCACCTCATCGGTATCCCAAGAGGTAGTCATTACTGTGATCTTCACTCAACTTAGTGCCACGGTTAAGTGGAAAGAAAGTTCCGGTATTCCCAGCCAGGGCTCGAGATTTCATAGCCTCTGCTTTTAACCATCAAAACAAAGCTGCCTGAGTGGGAGGCCTTGGGAACTAAACATCAATTTTACAAAGTCAACCACATTGTCTTACGGACACATACTTTTAATGGCTGTCCTGCTGCCCTTGAAACCATAAGGGAGGCAGGGGTTTGAGTTCCAACCCACTTGCAACCCACCGACTTAGGGACCTCTAAGGCCTCAGGCGTTAGGTTTTGTAAACGATTATGTGGGAATGTGGGCATACGGATACTCCCAACCCCTGCAATGTGGGGTCAATGTGAGATTTAGGACTCACACCAGGTGAGTCTGAAGGTATAGCCTCAAGACAACGATCTCAGAACCCCGGTCCTGTAAGGGAAGACTTGAGTTTCGTCCTCCCTCCCTTTTTCCCTCCCTTCCCCCCCAGTCACCCTTCAGGCGGGCCCAAGGTCAGCACGGCCCAGGCCCTCACCCCCTGGTTGATGTGCTCGTAGATCGCGTCTGCGCCCTGATCGAAGGCGCGCTCGAAGAAAAGGGCGCCTACTACGACGGTGAGGGCGAAGGTGGAAGTCCTGCGGAACAGCAGTGAGTACAGACGCGCAGTAATCGTCGGTGCCATGTTTCCCCGCTACTGAACTGACGCCACTGAGTCTGCGTAGAGACCGACTTTTCGCTCCAACCAAAAGTTTCGATGCGCACTGCTTTATGGGAATTGTAGTTCTGAAATTCTGTATTTCAGAGTTGACGTTTTTGAACCACACAGAAATTAATAGTGTGCTTTGGATATAAGATCCTTAAGATGTTGACATTCACATAGCCAAAGTTTGGCAAAATTTATTACCCAGTTTTTCTCCTCAATTATTTCTTGCTGTTTGACCTTTTGAACTACAACTCCCAAAAGCCCTTTGGCTTTCCCATCGTCCCCCGCGCTGTCTCGCCTTAGCGATCAGTCTTCTCGTATACCTTAGGAAGGACTACGAATCCCAGCGAACAGAGCGCGACTCGAGGCCACAAGAGGAGGAGCCCGGAGCCGTCCAGCCACGGAGCCAGGTACCTTGGGCTAGACGTCCTGGGCCGAGCTGTAGGCTACTTCTCTGCCCAGAATAACGAGCTCTTCGTTCTAAATCCGCGCTGTCAGCATTTTCTGGCATGGGGAGTGGATAGAGAGGCGAGGGCACCTGGGCTTTCGTGGCTTCATCTCGCCCCTCTGTCTTCTGTGAACCTGTACTCCGGGTGTAGGTTTGGGGGTGGCAAACGTCGGGTCCTAGAGGTCTAACCCTTCAGCCACGCCTCAAGAGAAAAAGGTGGCTTTGCCTTTGGTTCCTGTCCTCCAGCTCGTAGGCTCTGAAGCCTGGCCTCAAAGGCAGGCCACCTGGTTGTAAAAGGCACCCTACAGATGCTTATCTGAGGATTCCCCTGTCGGTTTTGAGCTGGTCCCCAGTAGATGAAAGGTCCCAGCTCTCATGGAGAGCTCGGGCTATTGTGTGGGTAATGGATAGGCCTAATGGAGAGCGCTTCTGGAAATTAGGACTTTGTAGGAGAGAAAATTGAATGCTTGGACAGGTTGGTGGTGCTCTTTAAGTCTGGGTAGTCACTTAACGGAGGATTTAGTATGTAGTAGTAGGGTAAACAGGACAATGTTTGTGCAAAGTTTTAGAGGCAGTTGCGTGCTTGAGAAAGTGTAGACTGGACTCTGAGTAGGTGACCTGAATCATTTTTCTAGTCTGGCCTTGTAACCTGTGGTAAGGAGGCCTTTATTTTTTTCCTAATTGCCCTAGGGAGTCACTAAGGATTTTAAACTGGAATGTGACATCTTATTTACATTTTAATGTTATCTTTCTGGCTTCTGGGTAGAAAATAGACTGAAGAGGGGTTATTACAGAGGAAGGTGACTTAAAAGTAGAATGGATTAGAATAATCATCAGATTTGAGATGCATTTTGGGAGATAGGATAGACCCAGCAAGCTAGCAGATATGTGCAAAAAAAAGGGGAACTAAAAGCTAGGCTCAAGTCGGACAGTGGTGGCACACGCCTTTAATCCCAGCATTTGGGAAGTAGAGGCAGGCGGATCTCAGTGAGTTCAAGACCAGCCTAGTTTACAGAGCAAGTTCCGGACAGCCAGAGCCGTTGATTAGAGAAACCCTGTCTCAAATAAAATAAAATAAAATCTGAGTTTGATTGTTCAGACCTTTAGTCCCAGCACTCTGGAGAGTTCAGGGCCAGCCTGGTTTATGGATTCCAGGACAGCCAGGGCTACACAGACAAATCCTGTCCTGAAAAACAAAAACAAACAAAAGAAGAATTAGCATCTAGGGGTAAATCAAAGTTTGACCTCAGAGACTAAATGATGTTTTGTTTGTTTTGAGACAAGTTTTCACACTTGGTCTGGCTGGCCTGAAACCAGCTACGTATAGACTAGCCTGACTCTGAACTCCTAGTGATCCTCCTGTTTCTGTCTCTGTCTCTGGAAGGCTGAAATTATATGCACTACCACGCCTGGCCTGTAAATTGTATGTGTGTATATATATATATATATATATATATATATGGTTAATATGTGCTCCTGAATGGCAGTGCCCATAGAAGAGGGTATCAGATCCCTTGAAACTGGTGGTGTGTGACTTGGGTCCTCTGTTAGAGTAGCACATGCTTTTAACATGCTCTCCAGCTCTGTAAATTGTGTTTCATGTGAGTTGTCCCTTAGATATGAAGTGGAAACATCTAGGGCAAATGGGGCTGCTGATTCTGAAATCTAGAGGACTTCTCTGAGACTGGAGAAAGGCTGAGACAAGCACAGGACTGTAATCCCAATTCTTGGGAGGTGGGGCAGGAGGAGCAGAAGTTCATAGTGTTTGAGGCCAGCCTGGATTACATTAGACTCTTTCTCTAAATGAATTAATTAATTAGATTAAACCAAAGGCTGATCTCTAGGCCTAGCTCTCCTTCTGACTCTATGTGACCTTGATCAGACCTGACTATCTACTTTATATAACCTGTAAAAAGCAACAATAAAGGCTGTTAGGAACTAGAAGGGAAAGTGGACAACATTGAGGATGTGCTCTGGGTATTTGCTGTTTGCAAAGCATCCTGGTAACTCCTGGCAGGAAGTTATGAGCCTGCAGGGAAAAACTACTTAGGTTCTGCTGATCACCTGCAAGATACCTACAACAAATGTGGTTGATTGCAAGTTCAGAGGATGGGAAATCATTTTATGTGGGATAGCTAGGGTGGCTACAGGGAGTTAAAGGTGTGCCTTATTTATTTAATCTTAAAGTGTTATTTTTAAGCATTATTTTTATCTTGCATGTGTGAATGTTTTACCTGAATGTATATGTGTATGAGCACCACACTTATGTTTTGGATCCCTTAGAACTGGAATTATGGCCGGGCGTTGGTGGTGCACGCCTTTAATCCCAGCACTCCGGAGGCAGAGGCAGGTGGATCTCTGTGAGTTCCAGGCCAGCCTGGTCTCCAGAGCGAGTGCCAGGATAGGCTCCAAAACTACACAGAGAAACCCTGTCTCAAAAAACCAAAAAAACAAACAAACAAAAAAAAAAAAAAAAACAGGAATTATGGACAGTTGTGACCTGCCATGTGGGTACTGGAGACTGAATTCAGTTTCTCTGCAAGAGAAACAAATGTGTTTAACTACTGAGCCATCATCTAAGCCTCCATATTATAATTATTTTGGGAGCAGAGAGACAGGCTTTTTCTGTGTAGCAGTCCTGGAACTCACTCTGTAGACCAGGCTGACTTGAAACTCACAGAGATCTACCTGCCTCTGCCTCCCAAGTGCTAGGATTGAAGGTGTGTACCATTATGCCCAACCTTAATTTTATTTTCATTTTTTAGGTGACTGGAGAGATGGCTCATTGGTCAAGAGCACTGGCTCCATATGGCAATTGACAGCTGTCTATAACCTCAGTTCCAAGCAACCCAACACCCTCACTCAGACAAAACACCAATGCACATAAAATAAAAAATAAAATAAAAAATAAAGAAAATAAAACTATTTTTTTTTCAGTTTTTGGTCCATTTTTTGCTGCTGCTGTTATTGTTTTTTGAGACAGGGTTTCTCTCTGTAGCTTTGGATCCTATCCTGGAACTCACTCTAGATCAGGCTGGCCTTGAACTCACAGAGATCCTCCTGCCTCCGCCTCCCAAGTGCTGGGATTAAAGGCATGCATGCGCCACCACCGCCCAGAAAAAAATTTTAATTTTTTTCTAAATAATTTAATTGTTGAGTTCAAGGCCAAATGTATGTATGTATGTATGTATGTATGTATGTATGTATGTATGTATATGTTGAGGCAGGTATAGTGGTGCTTAGCTGTAATTCCAGCACTCTGGGAGGCTAAGTCAGAAATTTTGAGTTTGAAGCCAGCCCTAGGCGATGAAGTGAGACTGTCTCAGTGGGGGAAAAAAAAATCTTCAATTTCTACACAAAAATTTAGAGAGATAAGGAAAACAACCTTAACTTTTTTTCTGATTAATGTTTGAACTCAAGTTGAACAAACTAAATTCCTCTAGACACTCAGCTCTACTTACAGTTTAATTACATTCCCTCAAACATTTAACTCTATTTATAATTTCAATATATTTGATTTTCTTTTTAAGTACTTGGGATGCATAACCTAACAAGCTCAATTTCCCCAAGGATACTTAGTTACTAGCAAATTTAATTAATTAAGTTTATACTGAATTTAAATTTCTTACAAACAATTCAATACTTTTTAAAATTGATTGTGCAGAGGGATGGAATTCATAAACACATTTCTATACAAACTCATTATGTACTTTGGCTCTCTCCTATTATTTCCAAACATTCCCACTCATAGTTCTGCTTCTACTTTCGAATCTTATATGCATTTATGATTTTTATGTATCTGTATAAAACCTAGGATCTACAGATGGAATATGATAATTGTTTTTCTGAGTCTGACTCACTTCCCTTAATATGATGTTCTACAGTTGTATCCATTTCCCATAAATGACATAATTTTGTTCTTTATGGCTAGGTAAAATTCCATTGTGTATGTATGTCCCATTTCCTTAGTCCATTTGCCTGTTGATGGACACCTAGGCTGAACCCATAATCTGGCTGTTATGAACACGTGCAGGTGTCTGTGCTGTGTTGATGATCTGAGTCCTTCAGGTATTACCCAAGAGTGGTCTGGCTGAGTGCATGTTAGCTGTATGTTAGTTTTTTGAGGAGCCATCATACTGATTTCCACAGTGCTGCACTAATAAACACTCCCACAGGACGTGTATGGAAAGGGTTCTGTATCCTGAAGTGTCCTCTCCAGCATTTGTTGTTTTCTAATGATAGCTGTTCTGAAGGGATGAGATCTGACTGTCTTGGAACTCGATATGTAGACCAAACTGGCCTTGAACTCACAGTGATCTGCCTTGTTCAGCCTCCTGAGTGCTGGGATTAAAAGCATGCACCACTACACCTAGCTTACTATTTTTTTAATTGAAATTTTTTTTCATAGAATATGTATACATGTTTTTGTTTGTTTGTTTGTTTGTTTTGAGACAGGATTTCTCTTGGTAGCCCTGGCTGACCTGGAACTCACTCCATAGAAGACTCTGACCTCAAACCATATAGTATATATTGATCAAGTTTTGAGCCTCTCCCAATTCCTCCCAGATTCTCCTCTACCTCCCTACCTACTACACAACTTTATGTCTCTGTCTCTGTCTCTGTCTCTGTCTCTGTCTCTGTCTCTCTCTCTCTCTCTCTCTCTCTCTCTCTTTATAGTTCAGTACTTTTTAAAAACTTAGAACAGGACAAAAAATTACTGGGTGTTAACTCAGTCGGTGGAGTGCTTGCTTAATACAAACAAGGTCTTGGGTTTGATCTTCAGCATGGTGTAACCTGAGAGTGTGTGATATGCACTTAACCAGTAATCCCAGCACTAGGAAGGTAAAGGCAGGGGGATCAGAAGTTCAAAGTCATCCCCAACTGTATAAAGCGGTTGAGAGCAGTTTGAAGTAGCTCAACCCAACATATACACTCACACACTAGGCTCTATGCCTCACATGA